CGCCATGTGGTACATCATGCAGAGCATCCAGAGCAAGTACTCGCTGTCCGAGCGCCTTATCCGCACCATCGCCGCCATCCGCTCCTTCCCCCGGGACAACGTGGAGGATCTCATTGGTCGGGTAAGCCCCTGCGACCGGGACATCCCCCCTGCTTCCGCGGCGGGCCGGGCTGCTTGAGTCCCTCGAGCGCTCCGGCTCCCTCTGACGAGCACTGCCGAGCTATCCCCGGCTGTCCCGGTCCCTGCGAAACGACCGTGAGGACTCCCTGGAGGGGTTTTCGGGTCCCGAGAGGAGAAGATCAGGGCATCTCCGGTTGGTTCAGAGACTCCAGGCTTTTCCTTCCTTTTCCGGACCCCCGGGGCTGGGGGGGATCTCCGGGCACGTTTGTTGACACTGCATTGGTAAAACACAACCGGGAGCCGGTATTAAGACCGGGAGTGTCCTTGTGAACGAACCCACGAGATATCTCTTAATTAAGCCCTTCCGAAGGGGTGGGATTTTTCTGACGCCGAGGCAGTTCCTGTCCTGGGCATTTCCTGCAAACCCCCGGGATTTGTGTGAGCTAGCCCTTTCCCATATGGGATAGGAAGGGGGGTGTTCCTCAACCGGAGGGGTTCCTGTGCTCTCCAGGGCGCCGATGTGAACTGCCTGCACGGCACCCTCAAACCCCTGCACTGTGCCTGCATGGTGGCTGATGCCGACTGCGTGGAGCTGCTGCTGCAAAAAGGAGCTGAGGTGAAGCATTGGGAAAACCGAAAACGGGTGGAAAACACTGAGAAGAGGGGTGGGGAAGTCAGGAGGAGCTGATAAGCAGCTAGGGTTAGAGCTGATGGGTTTACGTAGGATTTTGGGAAAAAGTTTCTCCCCCGGTGTCATGGGGGCACAGCCTCCGGGGACTGGGGTTTGGACAATGCTCCCAGCGTAGGGGGGGGATTTTTGAGTCTCCTGTGCAGAGCCAGGGCTTGGATTTGATTATCTTTGTAAGTCCTTTCCAGCTCAGGATACTCCATGGGTTTGTATCCCGTCACAAGGTGGCAGCGGGGGAAGGTTCATTGTGTCAGCAGGGAGAGAAGTTCTGGGCAGGGAGCGAAGGAAGGACAGAAACCTAAATTATTGTGCTGAGCTGTTGGGGAGGGTGAGGGGGGAGAATTAAAACCTAAATGTTTGCACTGAGGTTTTGGGAAAGTGAGGAGGTAGGATTGAAACCTAAATTTTTGCGCTGAGATTCCAGGAGGCTGGGAAGGAAGAATTAAACCCTAAATTAGCTGGATTTTTTACCCTGCTTTCCCCTGTCTGCTGGGCTGAAACCCTCCCTCATTTTTCCTTACGTTTGGGATTTGTGACTTTTGTTCCCTTGCTGCCAGATCCAGCTGCAGGTCCGCTCCCTGACCCCCAGACCTTTTATTTTCTCCCCCAGGTGAACGCCCTGGACGGATACAACCGCACAGCCCTTCACTATGCAGCAGAAAAAGATGAAACCTGTGTGGAGATTTTATTGGAGTATGGAGCCAACCCCAACGCCCTGGATGGCAACAAGGACACGCCGCTGCACTGGGCGGCCTTCAAGAACAACGCCGAGTGTGTGCGGGCTCTGCTGGCCAACGGCGCCCTGGTCAACGCCCTGGACTACAACAACGACACCCCCCTGAGCTGGGCGGCCATGAAGGGCAACCTGGAGAGCGTCAGCGTTTTGCTGGACTTCGGTGCCGAGGTGCGCGTGGTCAACCTGAAGGGCCAGAGCCCCATCTCACGCCTGGTGGCGCTGCTGGTGCGGGGCCTGGGCACGGAGCGTGAGGATTCCTGTCTGGATTTGCTCCACAGAGCCACAGGACACTTTGAGCTGCGCAAGAACGGGAGCCTGCCCTGGGAGGTGGCCCGGGACCCGCAGCTGTGCCAGCGGCTGACGCTGCTGTGCTCGGCGCCTGGCACGCTGCAGGCGCTGTCGCGCTATGCCGTGCGCCGCTCGCTAGGCCTGCGCTTCCTGCCCCAGGCCGTGCAGCAGCTGCCGCTGCCCGCCTGCCTCAAGGAGTACCTGCTGCTGCTCACCTGAGGAAGGGACACCTGCCCTTCCCCCAGATTGGCCCTTGCTTCTGGGACAGGTTTCCTGCTCGCTTCGTGATTCACCGGGTTCGCCTCCGAGGCTTTTGTTCCCCTTGGCCGCCCAGGACCCCGCTGGCCCCTTACACTGCCTTCCTTTCCTCCTCCTGCTCCTTCCATTTTGTCCCCTTTGCTTCTCCCCCTTTCCCCCCCTTTCACCCTCCTGCAATGAACAGTCCCCCTCTGATGGCAAATTATATCCCAGCTGTTGGATTAATCGGTTTTTCCCTTTTTACGTTTTTTTTTTCCCTTGCGAAAGGAAGGATTCAAAGGAACATTCTCCTTTGAGGAAAAACCCAAGGCGGGAAATTGAGGGCTGGGATGCAGAGAAATCTTGTGGGATATGTTGTCTGGAAATCAAAGATCCGGGTGTTTCTCCAGCACGGAGAGGGAAGTTTCCCCTGTTTATCCATAATTTTTATGCTGCATCAAGAGTGAAACCACCTCAAAAACTAAAGTTTTGCAGGGCTTGAATTCTTGTGGGTCAAGGAAATCTCCACAGAGCTCCACGTGGAGCTGAGGACTTCCCTCCCACTTCCTCAAGCTCTTCCTGAGGTTTCCCACCAGAAATTCACCCTTTGGTGGTGGTTTGGGGGTCTTTTGGGGATCTATTCCAGGATTCAATGGCAGAGCAGCTCTCCAGGGTGAAGCCAAGCAGCTAAAACTGTCATGGTAATTTTCTGGGCAGAACTTGGGGATGAAAGTTCAAATTCCACCTCTTTTATTCTTCTCTGTTACGCTGGGCAGTGAAATACTGAGGATCGGGAGGGATTTGGGGTCAGCGGGATCCGGGTTTAGCTTTCCATGGATTCACAGAAATCTGGAGCACTTGGACAAACACTGAATTTATTGAAACATCTCAATTTTGTGACTTAATCCTAAAAGCCTCAATTCATCATGCCATCGCTTGGGGACCACTTCTCAAAATCCCATAAAATCCCCAAAAAGCCGAAGGCTCTGGGAAAAGAGGATTTCTGGGGTTCCCCAGGGCTGGCGGTGGCAGCTGTCCCTGTCACAGAGGGGCCTCGGGGACCAGGACCTTGCGGGTCAGGTGCTCCAGGTGTGCCGTCTCTGACGTGTCCAGCTCAGTGTTGTACTTGGCCAGGATTTTGAGGATGGGCCGCAGCCTCAACCACCACTGCTCCTTGGGGATGCGGTGCCTGAGGGGACAGGACAGGGGCAGGCTAGGGACATCCCTGGGGATGGATCCCAGGCTTTGTCCCACCTTCCCAGGGCGGGGAAGGGAGGGACAGGGAGGGACACGCACTCAAAATCCGTCTGCTGGCGCAGCTCGGCGATGGGCTGGAACACCAGGCTACGCTTGCGCATCCCCAGCAGGCACGCCGAGTCAGCCGTGTTGGCAAAGATCCGGCCTGTGAGGGACATGGGTATGTTTGGGAACATCCTGATGGTGAGTTGGGAATACTTGGGATCCTCCGGGGTTATGGGAGGGAAGGCTGGGAATGTTTGGGAATCTTCTGGAACGGGGGAGCATCTGGGAGAAGCTGGGAATGTTAGAGATCCTCCTGGAGCAGGGGTTGGGAATGTTTGGCATGCTTCATGGGAGGGTAGGTGTGGAATGTCTGGGACCTTCCAGGAGCATGGGAGGGGAGGTTGAGAACGTTTGGGATCATCCAGGGGTGGGGAACACCCCCTAGGTTAAAATCTGCGGGAGGGCCTTTTGGGAACGTTAAGTCACTCTGGGGTCCCTTTGGGATCCCTGCTCCAGCAGCACCCACCATGCCGAGAGCACTCCTTGATCTTCCCGGTGATCCAGGCCACGGCCTTGGCGCCCATCTTGGTGCCAAAATTCCGATCAAATGGAGTGGGGCTGCCTCCCTGCACCAGGAGAATCCAGGATGAGCTGGGGAAATCCCCCAGACCCTGATCCCGTTCCTTGGAAAATCTCCCAAACCCCAGTCCTATTCCTGGGGGAATTCTCAAACCCTCACCCCCTTCCCAGGGAATACCTGCTGCATGTGCCCCAGGACATTTTTCCGGCAGTCAAAGACCCCTTTGCCCTCCTCGGAGTAGAGGTTGTAGATGAAATCTGTGGTGTAATTCTCATTGCAGCGCTCGTTCCTACAGCAGGGACAGGATCAGGCCCAAATCCCACAATTCATCCCAAATAATTCCACTGGTCCCAAACACCAGCACCACAGTGAGACCCCAAATCTTTCATCCCTAACCCAACACCACAGTGAGACCCCAAATCCCAAGGTCCCAAACCCAATCCATCCCCATGGGAGTGACACAACGTCCCCCCCAAGTCGCCCTGCCAAAGCCAGGGCCCACCTGAGCACAAGTCCCCTCTTCACCGTGGTCTTCATCTTCTCCGTCAGGTGGTCCACGTTGGCCTGCGGGGTCAGGAGGGGGATCAGGAATGGGGGCGGGAATGGAAACCCACTCATTTCACACCAACCTGGTGACACTGGGGACAGGGCTGTCCCCACCTGCAGGTCACGGCTGCTGAAGGGCTCCTCAAAGATGTAGGCAGCGTCGGCGCCTGCCGCCAGCCCGGCCATGGTGGCCAGGTAGCCACAGAAGCCGCCCATGGTCTCGATGATGAACACACGGCGCTTGGTACCCGCGGCTGACTGCTTAATCAGGTCACATGTCTGCAATGGGGACAGAATTTGGGGTCAGGAAAAGGGATTTAGGTCCAGGGGATTTGGGCTGCAGACTGCTTGATCAGGTCACATATCTGCAATAGGGCCGGGTTTGAGGACAGGGGATTGGGATGCCTACCACAGACTTCTTGATCAGGTAACATATCTGAAATGGGCAATTTGGGGTCAAGAAAAACGGTTTAAGGTCAGGAGTGTTAGGGGATTGTAATAAAGAATTGGATGAATAAAAATTCGAAAGAAAAAGTTTAAAGTATATGTAATTGTAAATGATGAAAATATAGAATGAGAAATCCTCCTCCAGGTCGAGGCAGGATTTCTCTTCCAAAGCAACAGATTGCAGCCAAGCACCCAGATAACAATCGCAAGCAGGCACATCAGCCCCGAAAGAATGGGCAGGACACGGGCCATCGAACAAACAAAAGAACGGCCCGGACGAGATATCGCCGAGCCCGAGCACCTCCACCCTGCCCACCTGTGCTGGAGAAATGGAGAAACTAGACAAAGGAAGAAGAGCCAGCCGAGATAGCCATCGGCTCCAGGATGGGTGCCACCACTCCACCCTAATGGCCCGGACCAAAATGATATCAAAAAGACATCCTGGACCTCTTTACATATGAGGAGCCTCTGCCCAACGTCTATTGACTCTATTCTCCGGTGCCAGGAAATCTATTCTTCGAACAATTAAGAACCTCTTAGCAAAGGGTGCCTGCTTGGAATTTGGCCTCGGGACACAAACTTCCTATAAAAACCCAGGCCAAAGGACTCTCAGGCGTGGATTTGGGAGCATCTATACCTTGCGTATAGACCCTGTCCACCCAGCGCTGCGCTGCTTATTTTATTGTGGTTTTTTCTCTTTGTTCGAATTTATTATTGTTTGATAATAAATTTTCTCTTTTATATAACCCGAAATTGCCTTTGCATTTATAACAGGGATTTCCCCTGGGGTCTTAGCGTGGGGATGGTGGTGGGAGAAGTAAGTGCTTTGGGATCAGGTAAATTTGGGGACTTCCACTGGGGTTTCACTATGGTGATAGTGTTTGGGATATGGGATTTGGTGTCTGACTGGTGATGGTATTTGGGATGAGGGGGATTTAGGGGGAATATTTGGGGTCTCACAGTGGTGATGGTGTTGAGGGCGGTGTCGGCACCAATGCTGAAGTCAGAGCCGGGGACGTTGTTGGAGACGGTGGCGGGGACAATGCACATGGGGATGCAGAGCTCCTCGAAGCGTGCGCGGCCCTCCACCAGCTCCATGCCACCCATGAATGCCTGGGGGACAATGGGGACATCAAGGGACAATGCAGAGAGGAGAGGGACACTGAGGACGCTGACCCCACCCTAACCATGCCCCCCTGACCACACCCCAGCCATGCTCTGACTGAGCTGCACTGACCACACCATGCTGACCACACTCTGCCTACATCCCACTGACCTCAAATCCACCAATGATTATGAGTGCATGGATCCCAAACTTGCTGATGTTGGCGCTGATCTCCTCGAAATATTTCTTGGGCAGAGTCCTGGGAAGGGGAAACCCCCCTGGATGAGTCTGACCAGGGTGGGGACTCCAAATGACGCCACACAGGGTGGGGAGTCACCTCTTGGTGCCCAGTTTGGATCCCCCCAGCCCTGTCCAGCTGCCCACAGCATTCCAGCCAATCTCCTCCACCTGGGGGGTGAAACAGGGTTAATGGAGTGTGAGAAGGATCTGGGGTCACACAACATACCCTCAGCCCAATCAGGCCTTATCCCCTCATCATAATGTCCCCTGGCTCAGGGACAGCGGCGGATCAGACCCACAGAGGGGCAGGGGTTTGGACAGGGGTTAAACACCTCCATGCCAAGGAATTCCCATCCCTGCAGGGCCACAACTGCCCCTTCCCAGGCCCTTTTCTTGCAGCCTTTTCCCACAGGGATCTTCCCATTCCAAAATCCAACCCCTCAAATCCATCCTGCACTTCCAAAACTCTCTTCCCACCCTATTTTCCCACTAGGATCTCTCCATTCCAAAACCCTACCCTTCAAATCCATCTCAAATCCCTCAAACCCATCCTGCACTTCTCACCCCCTTTCCCCCCCTCCCCCTTTTCCCTACAGGTGTCTCACCAGCTCAAAATCCATCCCTTCAAATCCATCATGCCCTGGCCACCCCTTTATCCCACAGGCATCTCCCCATCCCAACTCCCTTCCCCCATAGGATCCTCACCCTCATCCCAAATGCCAGCTCTTTGAATCCATCCCAAACCCCATTCCCTTTAGGAATCTCCCCATCCCAAACCCTTTCTTTTCCCACTCTTTTCCCACCCCAATTCCCCTCTGGACCCTCACCATGCTGAAGGCCACAGTCCCTCTAATCCATCCCAACCCCATTCCCAGTAGGATCTCCCCATGCTAACCCCATTTCCTGTAGGGTCTCACCATCCCAAAGGCCAGCCCCTCGAAGCCGTCGTGCACGGCGAGCATGCGGTGGCCGTGGATGAGGCCAATCCTCACTGTTGCCCGCACAGCCGCATTCATCCCCGCAGCTGGAGCGCCCACGTTCATCACGGCCACTGTGTACCCACTCTGGGGACAGGGTCAGGGACACGGGGACAGGGGTCAGTGGGCCTTGGGGACAGCAGTGGATTGGGGTTCCCTGGGGCGGCTCTGGGGACAGTGGTGGGATTGAGGTGTCCTGGGGAGGGATTGGGGTGGGTTTGGGGTGTCCTGGGTTTGGATTTGAGATTGGGATTGGATTGGGGTGGTTTCCATCCCTGGAGTGTCCTGGGATGGAATTGGGGTGTCCTGGGGTGGGATTTGGATGTTCTGGGTTAGGCCCCTCCCCAGT